TTTTTTTTTTTGTCAGTTGTGGGGCCTGAACTCTGGGCCTGGGTGTTGTCCCTCAGCTCTTTAGCTTAAGGCTAGCACTCTACCACTTGAGCCACAGCGCCACTTCCAGCTTTTTCTGCTTATGTGGTGCTGAGGAATCGAACCCAGGACCTCATGCATGCAAGGCAATCACTCTGCTACTGAGCCACCTTCCCAGCCTAGGAGATAGAAGTCTCATAGACTTTCCTGCTGAGGCTGGCTTTGAACTGCAAGCTTCAGATCTCAGCCTCTTGAGCAGCTAGGATTACATGTGTGAGCTACCAGTGCCCAGCCTGCTTTGGTTATTTTTGAGGTCAGCTTGGGCTATGATCCTCCTACTTGTGCTTCCCCATATAGCTGTGGATGACAGGTGTGGGCCACCATGCCCAGCCACTGCCTCAAATCTAAATTTGCAGATCTCTGCCACCCAAGTGGTTAGCATGTCATTTTCAATCATTGAAAACTTTTACTATCATTTCCCCCATTATTGCATATTGAAATTGCTTTTCCTCTTGTTTTTGGATAGATCTCTACTACATATTCTGATAAAGGAGGCATTTTCAGGCTTTTACTTTTATATTTTCTATCTTAAAAAGAAACATTTTGGGATACAGCTTACTGTTAGATTTTTTTTTTTTTGGGTCCAGTCGTGGGGCTTGAAATCTGGGCTTGGGCGCTGTCCCTCAGCTCTTCAGCTCAAGACTAGCGCTCTACCACTTGAGCCACAGTGCCACTTCCAGCGTTTTTCTGCTTATGTGGTGCTGAGGAATCGAACCCAGGGCCTCATGCATGCGAGGCAAGCACTCTACCACTGTGCCAACTTCCCAGCCCGATTTTTTTTTTTTAAGACAGGGCCTCCTTTTGTTGTCCAGGCCAGCCTTTTAACTAAGGATCATTTTCCTCTGCTTATTAACTGTTGGAATTACAGATGTGAGCTACCACACTTGGTTTATAAAAACCAGCTGTTTGAAGATCAGTGCTCTGTCACCATAAGGAAGTTGGAGACTTATCACACAAGACTTGTAATTGTATAATATAGTTCTAGATTTACTTTTTGTGTTTCATGTTTTTTTTTTTCAAGTCCAGGGGCTTGAACTCAGGGCCTGGACACTGTCTCTGAGCTTCATTTGTTCAAGGCTAGCACTCTACCACTTGAACCACAGCATTACTTCTGGCTTTTTCTGTTTATATGATACTGAGGAATTGAACCCAGGGCTTTGTGCATGTTGGGCAACTCTACCACTAAGCCACATTCCCAGCCTTTGTGTTTAATTTTTGACTGACATAATGGAACTGATTATTTCCTTTTCCTTTTTTTTATTATTATGTTTAAATAGTTACACAAAGGTGTTTCAATTTCCTCTTCTCACTGGTTACTGGAATCTTCAATGACATCTCTGCATGTGTTTCATATACAGACAGGATCAAAAGGCAAGTCTTTTACACATTAGCCTATTTCTAGCTATCAGCTTTTATTCCTTTTGTTTCAGTTTGTTCATTTGGTTATTTTAAATTTTATTTTATCTTGTTTTTTTTTATACATTTTAGGTAAGCTACTTTATGTTTTGTCTTGAATAAGATACCTAATAAAGTTACAAAATTAAGACAGTGACATTACATTCTGAGTATTTCCCTGGAAAAATTAAGTATCTGGTAAGTAAGTTTACTTAAAAAAAAAAAAGAAACAAAACAAAAACCCAGCTGGGTGCTGGTGGCTCACGCCGGTAATCTTAGCTACTCAGGAGGCTGAGATGAGGATCGAGGTTCAAAGCCAGCCTGGGCAGGAACGTCTATGAGGCTCTTATCTCCAATTAACCACCAGAAAGCCAGAAGTGGCGCTGGGGCTCAAGTGGTAGAGCACTAGCCTTGAACTAAAGAGCTCAGGGACAGTGCCCAGGCCCAGAGTTCAAGCCCCATGACCAACCAAAAAAAAACAAAAAAATCAAAACAAAAAACCAAAAAAATAAGCATCATTCTGTTATTCGATGGGTAAAATCATGATCCTGTTCCAAGAAAAGTCATGTGTACTTGAAAAGCAACAGCTATCAGAGAACTGTCCCCCATCTTTTTGCTTCTTTCAGAAGCCAATAGCAACTTCTTCTCTACTGAGGTTTCCTGTGGGAAGTGTATGCTGCTGTTCTTGGCCTCAGAAGGGGCCAGGGTGCTTGCAGACCCAGCAAAGATGCTTGAGGGGCTCAGAATGAAGTTACCTTTAAAAAGTCCTTGAAGTCTGTGTCTTCATCAGTCTTCTGCTGTAACAGAGCTGCTCCATTAAGCTGGCAGCTGCAGAACCGGATGTAGGCCTGCATGTGGGACAGCTCAGCCTCCAGGATGTCCCCAATCATCTGCACAGGCATCTTCTCACCCCCAGTCTTCTTCCGTACCCGCAAGGCCCTGCAAACAATAGGCTCTTGCTCTATTTCTCAGGGAATGCCCCTGACAATGAATGGATGAATGCCACAGCATGCCAGAGGCAGTGATAATGAGGAAACTGACACTGAGAGGAAAAGGGAGGGAAAGCAGTGGGCCTAAAGCTGTTCTAAGAAGAAAATTAAGTCTATATATTAGATGCCTCCTGGTTCTTTAGAATGGTTTGGGTTTTACCTTAGTTTCTTAGCAAAGTTTCTTTGGAAAGATTACCTCTCAGTTGAACCAGGAAGGCAATTCTGGCCTTTTGTCAGGTTAATGGGGGCGGGGGCAGTAGAGTCCTGAGGTGAGGGTATGGAGGGCTGCGCACTGCAGGCAGGGGTGGGACAGCACATCTGATCCTGGGACTCTGACCTCATGGGTGTAAAGACAGGAAGGCCTCCCACGACTGGAAGTGCACATGGGGACTTACAGGCTGCAAACTGCGCAGTGACATCTGGCTATGAGCTGTAGCTCCTCCCGTGTTTCCTGCTACCCTCCTGTCAGAGCCAGCAAGGCACATGCCTTGGAATCACCAATCCGTACATGATCTCCCATTCAAGTATTTTCTGTGTTCCACTTCTTTACTTTTCCTTAATAATCATTTATTTTATGGTTACCAGACATTTTGTAAGATTACAGAATATAAAGCCTATAAATACAGGCTTTTTTATTTCTTTGTGTCGGTTGTAGGGCTTGAACTCTGGGCCTGGGCACCATCCCTCTCTTCAGCTCAAGGGTAGAGTTCTATCACTTGAGCCACAGCGCCACTTCCAGTTTTCTGAGTGGCTTATTGGAGATAAGAGTTTCATGGACTTTCCTACCTGGGCTGGCTTTGAACTGCGATCCTCAGATCTCAGCCTCCTGAGTAGCTAGGATTACAGTTGTGAGCCACTAGTGCCTGGCTAAATACAGGCTTTGACAGAATTAAAGAGAGCAGAAAACAGTGGGATGTTTCTTTGCCAGGTAGTGTAGTCCTTATGGGGGCTGCACATAACATCAGGGCAGCTACGGCCACAGGTGACGGCCACAACTCACTTTAGCAGCTTCGTGTTGGACATGATGAGCTCTTTCCAGTTCACAAAAATCAAGGCCATCTCTCCCTCAGTGAGAAAGCCCGACTCCGCCATTGGTTTCTGAAAAACCTAAGTTCAAATTGTAGAAGAAATTAGCTTAAGCATGGATGATAGCCTGTGTGTGATCTAAAGCAAATAATGTCTTCATAACTGTGTTATTTCTAAATAAGCATACATTTTCAACTGCATAATTCCCCTGCTGTTTGCTATGTGAGCTCCTATTAAGGCTGGTTCTAAAGACTGAGTCCAGTAATCTCCTCAGTAAGCAAAGACTCTCCTAGCTACTTCCTAAGCTTGTTATGAAGGTCAGCCAGACACAGGGCACAAAGCACCTGCACCCAAGAGTTTGCAGAACTGAGCTGGGCTGTTGTCAGGCTGAACACTTCAGTGTTCAGGACTGTTGGGAGACGTTCGCTGAGAAACAGTGATGGCTCTGGGTGTCGCCAAACCAGCCCAGGCAGATGTGCACACAGAGGGCAGCTGGCTCAGTTAAAAGAGCACTCTCTGTTTCTCTGTGTGGGGTTGCACGTCCAGACACATAGGCTTAACTTCAAATACAACAGAGTTGAGGAGACTCAGGTATTAGTTCCAACTGACCCAGGAAGAAATAAAGACTCATAGAATAGAATAGTTTGCTTAAGGTCACAAAACTAGAATTAAGAAGCTAAAACTAAAATCCAATCTTTTTTTTTTTTTTCTCTTTTTGGTGCCAGTACTAGAGCTTGAACTCAGGTCCTGGACACCGTCCCTTAGCTTTCTCACTCAAGACTGGCACTCTACCACTTGAGCCACAGCTCTGCTTCCCAGCTTTTTTGGTGGATTAATTGGAGATAAGAGTCTCACAGACTTTCCTGCATGGGCCAGCCCAGATCTCAACCTGCTGAGTAGCTAGTAAGATTGGCTCTTTTTCAAGTCCAAGTTTCCACAAAATGACCATAATCACTAGGAACTGACTTTAAAAACATTAAGAAAGAAGTTATCATCTGTAACAACTCTTATCAGTGATGTTTGCTCTATATTAAAACTTTTGGTGGGGCTGTAGATGTGGCTAAAGTTGTGGAGCAATTCATAAGTGTGAGGTCCTGAGACCCATCCCAGTACCACACAATACACACAATACACACAATACACACACACACACACACACACACACACAGAAACAACAACAAAACCCAAAACTTCTCAAAGGCTCCTCACTACCTTGTGCAAAGAGACACAAACTTCCTACAAGGTTCATAGCCTGAGAGATGTGAACTCAGCCAACCTTACCAGGGGCCCTCAGGCTCCCAACACTCCAGCTGCGCTGGAATCTGCTTTCCAAATGCTCTGTGCATGTCTTCCATTTCGGTTTTATTCCTCCTGCAGACTGTGGTCTGCATAGCTGGCAGAGCCCTTCCTGCCTGGGGCTGGTCCCTCCTATAGGCTCCAGCTCCTATTGAACCTTACTCTGTCTCTAGAAGGAATGGGAACTCCGTGAGTACAAAAACCTCTTCTTTCATTTCTGTTTTTTGTATCTGGGCAGTATTTTATACTTGCTCAGTTTGTTTTTCCAAACGGATGGAAACAGTAGGCTAGTACTTCCATGGCTTCACTACTCCCTTGAAAAGGGAAAACGATCAGGTTGCAAACAACCACGTAAATACAGTTAGGTCAAAGTCTCAAGTCAAGGTCAGGTACTAGTGGCTCATGTCTGTGATTCCAGCTACACGGGAGACTGAGATCTGAGGATCATGATTTGAAGCCAATCTGGACAGGAAAGTCTCATCTCCAATTGACCAGTAAAAGCTGGAAATGAAGGTATGGCTCAAGGGGTAAAAGCTTTGAGTGGAAAAAGCTAAGCAAGCGCAAGAGTCCCTGGGTCTCAGTAGGGGGGAAAAAATGAAGTAAAATGAGCTTTGGGGCCTTAATGCCCACTCTGTGCCACTGTCTTTCCTTGATGACTCCAATGCATCCAACTAAGTAAGGCATTCACATACCTTGTTTGTCTCTTTACTCTGAATGGGCTCAGCTGAGGAAGATACCTTAATGCTTTTCCATCGAGTGGGCTACCCAGTAGGCAGAGCAGCGTTCTAAGCTTGTGAGAACCACTGTCACTGTTTGTGGCACTGCCATGTGGCTCAAACTCCATGTTCAGCTGGGTGTGTAGCTCAGTGGTAACATGCACGCCTAGTGTGCTAGAACCCTGAGTTCAATCTCTTGCACCCAATACCACTACAAAACAAACCAGTGTTGGCCTCCCTTTGCTGCCAAGGGGGAGCAGCAAGGCACTGACACCTGAAGGAAACAGCTGCAGAGCTGGTCAGCGATGGTCCCTCACCTCAATCACCAGCTGCAGATCGTCCATGTACCGCTCTTCCGTCTGGATCAGCTCATGAATGTAGCCCTGTCTCTTCCTCTCAGCTGGCTGCATTGTGTCCAGGGCTTGGAGATCAGCACACCCTGCAGAAAGACAGAAGAGAGCTTAAAATACTTCTGCAGTTGTCTTTGTAGAAAGACGTGCTGGGTTGACAAATGCTGCTTTGAAAGAACATCGTTGCTTTGAGAAAAGAAGTGCCACCCAAGCGCAGAGAGCCGGCATGAAGGTGACACCACTTGTGTACCAAGCAGATTAGCAACATCTGCAACATGTCAGCGCACTCCTGATTGCTAACAGTGAAAGAATTAAGGATTCCTAAAAAATGGCCTTGAGGAGATTAGAATCTCACCATTTCAAGGCATTTTTGAGATTACTGAAATGGTTAATTGAATCAAATGTTTGATGTCAGTGTTTTCCAACTGCAGAGCTTGAGTCATCCCTGGATCACTATCAATTAGGCCCATTCAAAAAGAAGCAATTAGTCTCTTACATGTGCACAGCTTTGGTAAGACTTTTCTTTTTTTTTTTTTTTAAAGCATTACCTGTATTTGGGGCTGCCAAATGTATTTCTTAATTTCAGTTACATTTAAAGAAGCTGTAGAGAAACATGCCTCCAGATTTCTCAAAGGAAAGAAGCAAAAAACCCAGAAGTTTCCAGGACCTGGAGATTTCTAGCAAGACCACAGTGTTAACCCACAATGTTAACAAAAAAGACACTGCAAGTATCCAGCCACAAGCGACCTGAAGGGAAGTCACAGAAGACTGCATTCATTTTGAACCAACTTACAGGCACATCAGAGCTGAACTAGACGCCAAACTGTGACATGACATACTGCAGAATTGTTCATGAAGTCCTGGGGGCCTGCCTGTGTCTACAGATGGACACAAGGCACTACTGCCTCAGGAAGTTCCTCAGACAAAATGCAAACACAGCAGCTACTGCCAAATGAAATCTGTGGAAAGCCAAGGGGTTGGGGCTGGTATCTGACAGATCAAACCAATACAGAACTTAATATCACACTGAGTTTCATTTGATTGTAGGAGATCCAGTAGCCAACCAATAAAGCTATCACTGGTTAACTAGTTAAACTATAGCACATTGACTGCTGCAGTGCTGAGGTAGTAGAAGTCAGTTTTCTATATACCTTATTTATGTTTTTCAATAAAGTCTGTCCAGGCACACTGCTGGCTAGAATTCTCAGAAGTTATTGTGGCAGCTACTCCATTCCTAAATTGTTCTGCACTCCTTTGCTCAAGTAAACTCTTACATTTTACTGGTTGAAGGAATTCCTCTTTTAGGAAGAATACCTCAGTACCTAGAGTACTTAGAAACTACCAGAGGAAGCAGCAGCATGAGTTTCAGAATGCAGGGAGAGAGGAAGATGAAGGAAGTATGGACAGTCACTTGCAGTTGTGATCTGGAAGGGCAGCAGGAGATCTACTTAGAGCAGAACCTTGGGAATCTTGTGACAGATGAAGAACACAAGGATCACATTTTATATATGTGTGTGTGGGGGGGTACTGTGACAGGTACTGTGACACACGAACCCAGAGCCTCACACATTCTAGGCAAGCATTCTACAAACTAAACTATACCTCCAGCCCTGGAGAGATTTTTAAAGTCAATTTCTTTTCCTAATTTTCTTTGAATTTTATAATACATTATTAAAGACAGCTTTTCTGTTTTCTGAACATGTGGACAATAGGTTAAAAAATTAATTTCAGTAGGTGGTAATGTGCGGTGCCACCAAGAAGAAATCTCAGTGCTAAGGTTAAGTTCAAAGGTTTCAAGCTTCTGGGAATCTGCATTTGTGTTGTTCCAGGGAGAAGTGTAGAGTGAGTGATGGATTGAGAAGGCTACCAGGAGTACTATACAGAGGACAAATGTGAGGGCTTGGTACTCGGTGAATGGTGCTGCCAGTGATGTCATTGGTGGCCCTGGCTATGGCTAGGTGACTAACAGAAGCAATGAGAACCCTTTCTAGGGTTAGCTCACCTCTTACTGAGTATCTTACAAACTTCAGCCATTCAGATCTGCATTCAGAAGCATGTGTGTATGTGTGTGTGCATGCGCACGCATATGCATGAGTGTGCACCAGTACTGTAGTCTGAACTCCTGGCCTTGTAATCTTGCTTGGCTTTTTCACTCAAGGCTGGTGCTCTACCACTTGAGCCACACCTCTACTTCCAGCTTTTGCTGGTTAACTGGAGATTAGTGTCTTACGGATATTTCGCGCCTGGGCTGGCTTTGAACTGCAATCCTCAGATCTCAGCCTCCTGAGAAGCTAGAGTTACAGGTGTGAGTCATGGGTGCCAAGCTCTGCATTCAGGATTTTTTTTTCACACATTCACATTCCATCACTATTATCCACTTCATATTTTTCTGTAAATTAACTTACATTTGAAGTTAAATGTGCTTCTTATATCTGTTCTAAAAGTCATTGAAGTATGGACAATGATTGAGTCTGTTTGGATACTATTGGGTACCATTGGTGTCCCACCACATGGCAAACCATGAGGATGGATACATCAACAGTGGAAGTTATGGTTTACCTCAGGAGACACAAACACTGGACTCTAACTGGAATAATCACTTGGAACAATAAGAAAAGCCTTAGGACTTGGCTGGAACATACATGTCATATATTTGATCACCATGCCTCAATGACTCCTTTGCTTCTGTAGTAGCTCTCAAATCTTCTGTTCAATTTCTCCTGACTCTTATCCTCACACCAGATGTTCTTAGCTACAATGTCAGGGGAAATACCAAGGAATAGCACCCTTGTACTTCCTGCCTGCTAGTCCCACATTTCCTTCCGATAGGGAATGGAATCCCTTTTCTTTCTGAAGCCAGCATCCTGGCCTGGTTCTCTCTTGAGGCCTTTCTCTTTCCTTTACACAGCTATCTTCAGTTTTCCCTGCTTCTTTCTAAGTCCACAACAAAGTGCTACAACCCTCCTCTTCCTCAGAACCTTTTTATTTCAGTCCATCATCTCAAGAAGTCTTCACGCATGGTCTACCCAATTGCTTAGACTTTAACTTTAACCAGCCTACTACTCCTCAGCTCTGTCAGTACAGTTGTTCAGGAACGAAACCAGGCTTTCAGCACTGCTGACGTCAATAATCCCTCTGCCCACAATGCTATGCTGCAGACGTGCTGCCTGTGGAGTCTGGAGCCCCTCCTAAGCCTGCAACTCTACTCTTCTTGGTGCCTCCTGAATTTCCCTGTCTGCTTGTGGTGAGGCTTCCTGCTCCCTCCAAACCAGAAAATAACAAACGGGACATGGACTTCCTGTCCTGTAAGGCCCCAGGAATCAGAAGCTGCCACACAGTATGTAGGACCACAATGGGCACAGAGCCCATCAGGTGGTGAGAAGCTCTGCTCTAAAGATACATTCAACCTGATGAATCCAAAGTTGTGAACACTTACATGACTACTGAACTCTCTTTTTGAGGAAAGGGAAAGGTAAAAACTTCTGATAAATTTTAAGACGGGGTTTCTTGATCAGAATCCACAGCCCTTTCTGCCCATTCTGTCCCTAGAGTAGCCAAAGCAGCACTTAAACTACTGGATACCTTGGTCCAAATACTGGTGTGCTGCACGCATAACTCACACTGGGTTTAGAAGACCTATTTCAAAAGTATGGTGTGGAATACTGCATTATTAGTGCTGGATATGGTGGCTCAAGACTGTAATGTTCAAGGCCAGTCTGAGAAAAACGGTGAGACTCTATGCCAAGCAATGTCTGGACGTGGTGGTATGACTGTCATATCAGCTATGTGAGGAAGCACAAAATACGAGGACTGCAATTAAGGCCAGCCCAGACATAAAGCAAGACCTCATCTAAAAAATAATATAGCCAGGTTTTGAACCGTATTCCTCAGATCAGCCTCCTGAGTAGCTAGGACTACAGGTGTGAGCCACCAGCACCTGGCTTCAGATATGTTTTCTAAGTAGGTAGAATTAAAAGCATTAAGCCATCATGCCTGGCTCATATATATATATTTAACTTAAGGTATTAGAATGTCTCCGAAGTCTATACAATTCCTGACTGTGATATAGGTAAGTTTTATTTATTTTGGGTCTGGTCGTGGGGCCTGAACTCTGGGCCTGGGCGCTGTCCCTCAGCTCTTCAGCTCAAGGCTAGCGCTCTACCACTTGAGCCACACGCCACTTCCAGCTTTTTTCTTTTTGCTTATGTGGTGCTGAGGAATCGAACCCAGGGCCTCAGGCATGCAAGGCAAGCACTCTACCACTGAGCCACCTTCCCCGCCCATAGGTAAGTTTTAATTCCCAATAAAATCTTTTGGTAATAGCATTTTAGTTCTTATGATGAATGTAACTGTTCAACTGCTGCATGATACAGAATGAACTATAGCTTAATTCTGACAGAGAAAAAAAAATAATATAGCCAGGTGCCGGTGGTTCATAATCCTATAATCCTAGCTATTCTGGAAGCTGAGATCTGAGGATTGTGGTTTGAAGCCCACCTGTGCAAGAAAATCTGTGAGACTCTTATCTACAATAAATTACAAAAAAAGTTGGAAGTGGCACTGTGGCTGAAGTGGTAGAGCACTAACCTTGAGCAACAGAATATATAGATGTGTGTATCTCTCTCTCTCTCTCTCTGTATCTAAACTTTTTTTGGTGGGGGGAATACTTGGTACTGGAGCTTGAACTCAGGGCCTGGGAGCTGCTCCTAAGCTTTTTCACTCAAGGTTTGTGCTCTAGTACTTGAGCCACAGCTTCAATTCTGGATTTTTTTTTTTTTTTTTTGGTAGTTAGAGGTAAGAAAGAGTCTATGGGCTTTCCTGCTCAGGCAAGCTTCAAACTGTGATCCTCAGATCTTAAACCTTTTGAGTATTAGGATTACAGGAGTGAGCTATCAGCACCTGGCTGGAAATTTAAATATACTGAGTTAAGTAAAAATATTGGTGGGATTAATATCACCTGTTTCTTTTTAAAAATATAACTGCTAGAAAAATTTAAATTACATGAGTCTGTATTTGTGACTCACGGATTTCTATTGAACAGTTTGTGCTAGCCACTATACGTTTCCTCCCACCCAAAATGTGATCAATG